TTGTAATTTGAATTATATGTTTTATAAACTGCCAATCCGCCCGAACCGCCAAGGCAAATCCGCCATTATTTGCCATCCAAACCGCCGATTTTTGATAAGAAAAATGGCAAATTCTAATGACACTTTTTTCAATCCACCACTCACCATACGGTTTCTATTTTTCTCTCAAACCGCACTAACCCGCACCGCGCACCCCTAAGCATGAGGTTGTTGTGGGTTGTCATTACTTTTATCGGAAAGCTTCATGCTTATGCTTATCTTGGACGGTTGTGTTAATGAGGTAGCCATGATGATAATGGTGAATTTTGATTGAGAATTTATATTGTGATTTGAAAATGTAAAAGCATGGTTTTGATCGCTTGAAACTTTCTTTGGGTAGTTTGATTTAAATTTCAGGAACAAAATTTTTTATGGTGGGGAGGTTGTGACAACTAGGTACGTTATTCATCATGTCCTCTTGGAGTCACGTTGGGTTTACTCTCGTTATAGTGTTGGGTTTTAATACGAAGTTTTGTTAAATGTTTGGGCTCGTTGTTCTTGGAAAATTTTTCTCAAAATTCTCATTTTTAATTATTTTAATCCCGAGTTTCACTTGTTTCGGAGGGTGCGAGATTAAGTTCAGTGAGTCTCAAGTTGAGCTGAAAAATTTTCTAGCTGGAGGACAGAGCCGTACGTGCCGCACGTGCGGAAGGAGGGCCACACGTGCGGAAAGCAGAGGAGGTCTAGGGTGCAACACTGTAATATATGCAGGTGTGGAGGGAAGTGCGGAAGAAGAGCGCCGCATGTGTGGAGGTGAGAGCCGTACGTGCGGAGGCGGTTGCCGCACATACAGGAATGGGTGCCGCACGTGGGGGACAGATTTGAGTCCAAAACTCTTCTTTTTCTTTCTTCTTGGTCTGAGTTTATATTACTTTTATACACCTCTGCCTCACTCTAAAATCATCTTTTGCTCCTCCTTCTCTCTAAAAAGTTGCACCAAACATCTTAAACTCTTGATTTCTTCCAATCTATTGGGATTTTGACCCTACATTCTTCTTAAATCTTGGAGAGCTAAGCGAGGGCTTCGTTTTGTGTGGTGGGGGATCGAGTTTCAACACCGTTGATTTTGAAGGTTTCATCTCATTCTTCTTCAAACTTGAGGTAGGGATTTTTCTTAGAGTTATATATGCATTTTTGCAAGAGTTCGTTGATTTGAAACTCTTTTGAGAAGTATAGAAACTTTGATTTTTGGCTCATGTGTGTTGATGATTTTAAAAAGTGGGTTTGCATAATGTTTTCTAAGAAGCCTTGAGATTGTGGGTCTTTTTGTTGTAGAGGAACACTATTTTAAAATAATTTCTCTCAAAAATTAAGAGGAGACCTATGGTATGGAAACCTTAGAAATTTGGAATATTTTTGGAAATATGGGGATGTTGTGAAATTAATTTCTTAAACAAATATTATGGCAATGTTAAATGAAAAGGGCCTCATGGATTATGATGAATGATTTGGTTTTGGAAGTTGTTATTCAAAAAAATGAGTATATAGCCATGAAATGATTATATTGTTGAGAGAGTATGAAATGTGGAAATGTGTTATTCTTTGGATGGATATAAATGAATATATATATATATATATATATATTTATTTTTTGAAACTGCATTAAAAAGAGGATTGGGAATTGTGATTACAGTGGAAGAATTGAAAATGAAAGGGATGTTGCATTGCATTGATAATTGTTGCATTGGCATTTCTATTCCTTTGTTTACGATAAATTTTTAGATTTGATTTGAAAACTTTTGCATTGAGAAAAGAATGTTGTAAAATAAATTTTCATGGAATTGTTTTGAAGTAAATACATTAGTAAGTCTCGATAGGAGGTCTAGATGAAGTTGATTAAGTTGGCCTGAGTGTCCAGGTTGAAAGATCGAAAACACGCGCAGAGGAGGTACCACTTCCCTTCCGGTTAGTTACTAGTAAAGTGGGGTTTTGGTAGTGCTAGTTATGCCTACTTGCAGACACCAACTTAGAGATTACCTGAGTCGTATTTACTGCCCCTTGAACTAAGTTGTTTTTTTTTTTTTTTTTTTTTTGAACTATTGAAATTTCAAGACATCATTGAGCATGGTGGTTTTCAAAAGATGAAGATGTGAATTTTTTTCAGAAAGGCACAGCATGGCATTTGCATTTCATTTATTAAGACTTGTATAAAATGTATATACTTTGTTAAGAATTTCTACTAGACTTTATGCTCATCTTAAGGGATTTTGTGCAGAAAAAGATGTGGTGATCCCGCCTAACTATGAGCGTGGAAATAGGTGTTGAGAGTATAAGGCTCTTGTTTTGTTGTGACTCTTTTTTGTAAGCCAAGGGCTATATTTGTATGGATTCGAGTAACCATTTTGTGTAACCTGGCTTAAGCCTTGGACTTTGTAGCCTTGGAGGCATTTATTTATTTTAATTGGATGTCCTACATGCTATAAGTTCATGTGTTAAGAATCCTTGAATGTGTATTCACATGTGGGACTATTTTGTAAGACACTTCTTAATCATATAATGTAAGTATTAGAGATGTATTACGGTTTATCATGAGGAACAGTGGTTGGTGTTCTTGTGTTGTGTGTTATTTTTTGGGGGCGCTACAATATCACCAACAAACAATAAATGTGCATTATGTGGAGGGTCAACCCAATAATTACCTTGTCACATATACATGAAGGGTAAAATATAAGAAATAATTGGTGGGTGATACCAATGACATAAAATCACCCTTGTGTTGAAGTTTTTTTCCCCATATAGATGTGGAAAAAATTAGTGGTGCTAAACGCACCAATTGGTATACTAATTAGTATACCAACATAGTTATGATATTGTCATTTTAAAACTATGATACTACTCATTATACAAATTACAAAGATCCAAAACCTCTAAAATTATGTCACTTCATCCGTTAGTACACTAATTAGTATACCAATTGGTGCATATAGTATTATTCGTAAAAAAAATGATCGATTCAACTAGTCTGATTAATTATACCTAATTAATTATCCCTTAATTATTTTAGGAACACTGAGACATGTGCAGTTGCCACTGCTGGAAATTAAGCTTTTAGTGGCGTTTAAAAAACGCCGCTATAGCTATAAAAAACGCCGCTAATTGTTTTTGTGACGTTTAGTACTAAACGCCGAAGATGCGGCCGTCGCTGTAACTTTATGACGCTTTAAAAGCGTCGCTATATCAGTATAGGTGGCATTTTAAAAAACGCCACTAAATGTGCTGCATAATGATCCAATGACGTCACTCCACATTAGCGACGTTTTAAAAACGCCGTGATAGGTCATTTTTATTTTAAAAATATAACCGTTAGTATTCTACAGTGGCGTTTAACAACGCCGTTATAACTTCATTTTTTTTAAAAAAATAATAATAAATTGTGCTAATTCTGTGAGATTTAACCCCAAAAAAATACCTTTTATAAAGATGAAAAATATACAATATATTGACTAAATTTAGGTAAACATAATACTAGATCAATTCATGCTTCTCAATACGCAAAAATATTTCAATTCCAAGATGAAAATAAAGTTAAACTAGTACCTAGTGGTAAATTGAAAGTTGTTACAAAACAAATCGGCACAAAAGATACAATTCAAACTAATTATACATACAAAAACTATGAAAGCATCTACTAAGAAACAAAAAATGGTTCTCATGGCAAAAAATGTTCTCAGTCCATGACAGAATCACCAAGGAATTGAGCATTGATGTATGTACACTAATTATGACATCCTAGATGTTTAAAATAGTTTCTTTTATATACATCTATGAGTGTGTATATATAACCAAAAACTTTTCTAACATAGGTCGAACACGTAAATATCGACATCTCTCTTGATTTTCCATTTTAGGGAAGTCGACATTTTAGCATTTAGCATTTATGTAATATGTCAAATCCAAATTTTGTGTTTGCATCCATGTTCATCTCCACGCAACATAGACATAAGAGTAGACCTGCAACGATGCTCTAACAAGAGGTCCACGTCCAGCTCCCACAACCATCAGTACCTACAACACGAGAACAGAAGTGTCATGACCTTCACTGTTAAACTGCAACACATGCCATAATTGCTGATAAGATATTAAGACAACGAGAATGAACTCAGCTATACTTTATTCCGACACATATATCTGAGATATAATACCAGGGATTATCACACAGCTTACAGTGATTATCATAGATGCTTCTTCATATGGGACCCTGTCCATCAAAGCTTTAGAGACTGCTCTTGATACTACCAAAATACAAGTACAAGATCAATATTAAAAAAAAAAAACACACACACAAACCACTGAAACTTCACATCATTTAAGTACTTCTGCATTCAAAGAAAGATAGATAGATATGGGTAGGGATCCATTTACACCTGCTGTAAGACATTTTTAAAACGCATGCACTCCAGCTCTCCACCCCTAATAAGCAAGATCAACTTTGGGTAGTGGCATATTTCACATACAGCAAGTTCAAACTTTAATATGGAAATAAATAATAAGAGCAAAGACTACACAAAAGGAGAGACAATGTAAGACATGAAGCAAGACTCAAATAGTGGATGCGTGATATATGGTTTAAGATTAGCACCTGCATGTTGGTCAGATTCTGTAGAATCTGATTCACACATCTAGCATAATTAGCACAGGATGCTCCTTTAGGAGTAGGAAGAAGACAAGCCTGCAGGAGAAATGCAAATAGTGAAAACAATAAGCTTCTTATGCAACAATTGGAAGACCTGCAGTGCAAGAACACAAAATAAAACACGGCATTTTTATCATACAAATTAAAATCATCATATAAGAATTACCTTAAGCTTTTGAATCCTTAACATGGTCTCTTTAAAAGTAGGTCTATTCATTTCTCTCTCAATCTAACATCTAAGTTCTATAGAAGTTTCATACCATCTCATTTACATGATGATTTCTATTTATATGCACATCAATTACAATAAAGTTCTTTAGTTTTGTACCTTCCAATCCTTGAAATCATATCTGAAGACAAAATGGCTGTAAGCAACTTCCCCCGACATAACAGAAGGGGCGTCAGCGGCATTTGTTGGCGCTGAAAAGAAAGTCAATAACTACAAATATAATACAAAAACAAATAACTAAACAATATTCTCAAATGGATGTTGTTATGAGTTGTTGTGTCTTACAAACAAGATGAGAGCCCTTTTCATCCACAGCCATTATAACCCGCCCATCTTTGACCAAGAAAGACAGAGCAAATAAATTTTCCACTGTCTGTGCAAAAGATTTTCTATTCAATATCAAACTTTCAAGTTTAACCCTTCTCTTGCTCTTCAAGATGTCGAACATGGTAAACATATTCTCGTCAGTATCTGTCCTCTTTTCTTCTGCCCCAATATTACCGAGCTATTGCACAAGAAATTTACATGAATGAATACATACTGTTGAAAGAACCTGGCACCATTACTAGATTTGAATTTTATGAGTTAAAATCTCATGTATAAATAATGCAATGCACTCACAAAAGATTATTCGACTACGCAAATATTAGAATGAGCTAAAGAAATAAATCATCATAGTAAACAACTAAAATTGTGTGTCTAAGTACTTAACGCTGTTACATTCCTAAAAATTATGAAAAGAAATTTGAGAAATTTAGCACTCGGTAAATAAGCAAATGCTAAAACTTGAAAATCATCAAGTTTTCCACAACTGTCATATAAGGGAACACAGTATAGTCCATGGGCATTGAAGGCCTGTAGAAATGTAAAAAACTATTAGACTGCTAAAATGCCAAATTAATATATCAGCTGAGTATCAAACTTCATTCATATCTAAATGATAAAATTTTCCTTACACTATGAAAGATATCACAAAATATGCTTTTATATACATATCGTGATGAATGGGCTACTTGAATTTAGAGCTCAAAACTCAAAAGAATCATTTTCTAGTTTCACTCATCCAGAACTCTAATGTTACAGAAATACATAACCTAGCACTTCCACACAGATAAAGAGGAAGACAGAAGAAGAAAAATGTAATAGGTCACAACACTGTATTTGGAACAAAAACCAACTCTTTGGTAGGTGTATTGGTACTTTACCTGCATACTTATGATCCATTTCATGCAGTTGGCACCGTAGATTCCACATCCTGCATGTATTTGGAACAAAAACCAACTCTTTGGTAGGTGTATTGGTACTTTACCTGCATACTTATGATCCATTTCATGCAGTTGGCACCGTAGTTTCCACATCTTGCACCCTTTATAAGTAATTAGACGGTAGAGTTAGCATGAAACTTTGAAGCAAAGTATCAATTTAAACCAATGAAGAATTAGTTGGAATGAAATTGCGCCATGGTATGGCGAGGCTCAAATTTAGCCTCAATTACAAGAGCTAACATCTATAATTGCTTGCACTAGCTAATGTAACTTCTGAATTGCGACAAAGCAAAATAAACTTACTTGCTTGATACCACAAAGGTTTTGGTTGCCCCCACTATTAATGGAACAAAGCCAATTCCTCAGTTATTTGTTTCATTACAGCCATTACTAGTGAAAACACTAAATATCTGTCTGACATTATGTAACATATGACACAAGAGAACCAAATTTGGGGAATCAAAGTAATCATAAAGTGCTCTGAGGTTAAACATCTAGAAGATCTTAGTTTTAAATGACTCAAAACATGCTGACTATAATCAACTAACCCTCCAGTGGTTGCAGTAGCAGGCTGACCAGTAACATCATTCTTCTTGACATCAGCTAACACAACATTGATATCGTCATCCTCAAAAGCAAAATACACAGGATACTGTAACCAAATATAGCATCATCAAGATAGTTTCCATGATAAAATCACATTGAAATATAGAAAGTGAAAAGAAATTTGGGGATGTGAAACACCTTGATTAATGAGTAGGCCAATAAATTATAGGACATGACAGAAAGTCAAATGTCCTGGCCATTAAATGGTGTCTAAGAATCCTACAAAGCAATATAATATATATGTATCCCGAGTCCATTTGGGAGCCTGTAACAAACACTAGAGGTTACTTTGTTTAGAGTGTTTTGATAAAGTTTTTGCATACTACACAAACATAGCTTCCACAAGCTGAAAAAAATATGATTATTCAGAAGTATGTGGGAGGGATACTTTTAACTTCTACTTTCTGATTATTAGTTTTCAGCACAAAGAAGTTGCAACAAACAGGGCCTGATATCACTCACAGTATTAAAGCATTTGGTCAGAATGAAAGGAAACAAGTGTACTACTCAGATAATAAACAGGTTGGTAATTGAATCAGTCCATTTGATTTACATTGAATTTTAACTAACAAAAAAAAGGAGAGTGATATTCTAAGCATAAAAAAAATTTAGTCATCCAGGGCCCTTATTCTAGAATACCGTTGGGGCAACAATTATGTGCATATTCACTTAAATGCAATTAGGAGGAGAATGGACAAATTCACTATTATGTAACCAGGAAGAGAATATACATATTCAACTACAATTAAAAGAATAAACGCCACATCAATCCTAATGAAACGGGCAAAAGTTGGGAAGTTAAAGATGCATTCTGACCTTAAGCAGCTTGCGAACGAATTGAATAGCATCACTTGGTCCAAAAACCTGACAGTTGTTAACAACATCAACTTTATAATAGAACTCGGAAAGTGAGTTGACAAAATAGTTTTAAAATGAAGGCAAAAGAGATAGTGGACAGATGATATACCCCCCACAGGATCCGATACAATAGTTTTTCCTGTAGTGATATATTGTTTTTGGAAACACAAAAATTATCACAGAATCCGACACAATTTTTTTACTAAATTAGAAGTTTCTGCCTAGTTCTATGTTCTTTGTATTTTTCAATAGATAAATTTTTTCAAGAATTTTGCTAACAAACACTGTCAAATCTTGTCCGTTGAAGTGTATTGTGTCTCATTTTCTATTATTATTATTATTTTTAAATGATGTATAAGTGATGATGAATAGAATTTGAAGGGTGATGAATTAATTGTTGGGTGATTATTATTTTGTTATGTAGGAGTGAAATCAGTGGATATAAACAGGAAGCAACAGAAGGTGACAGTGAATGGATATGTTGAGGCAAACAAGGTGTTGAAGAAGGCAAAGTCAACAGGGAAAAAGGCTGAGATATGGCCCTATATACCCTACAACCTAGTGACTCAGCCCTACGCAGCCCAAACTTATGACAAGAAGGCACCTCCTGGCTATGTCAGAAGGGTTGAGAACCCAACCAGTGCCACTGTTACCAGATATGAAGATCCCTACATATCCATGTTCAGTGATGACAACCCAAATGCCTGCTCTATCATGTAGCTCCGCCTTAACTCATCAGCATCAATCTTCAAATACTTCAATATTAAAATATATATCCAGAGAGAAAAGTGTCTAGAATTTAAATGTAAGGGGTAGATTTAAATTTGGTGTGCGATGGCAACAACCATAAGCATGATGTATCTGATCTATACATTTTGAATTTAGAGTGTTTTTCTGGATATGTAACGTTGTTATGAAGAATAGTGCTACTTTAGGTATTTTTTTTTCCTCATGTAATCTAGATTCCAGGCTTTTTTTTTTTTTTTTTTCTTCTTCTTTTTATCAAAAAAAAATAAAAAAAAATGTTTCTTTCCTTTTGAAGGGTGCTTTTGTAAAGGGTACACTGCAGGAAACATTCTCTTTGCACATACCTGCATGAAATGTTTAACCTGTTACTTATAGGGGAAACAGATGCAAAAAGAAGAGATATAAAAAGAAAGCTCAATGAAGTAAATATGGCATACAAAACAATTGACAAGCATAATGTTTTTTTGTGTTCTACTTCAGAGGACAGATACTGTCCATAATATTATATAGAATGTAAGCACTATCCGAAATCAAAACAACTCACTTAACATTACAAGGAAAACTAACCACCCATAAGCATACTTGAAAATTTTACACAGAATTAACCATTATGAGAATATTTCTTTCTGTAAAGGGAATAACTCCTCAACATGTTTGAAAGATAATTTTCTCACAATAACTTCGATTATTTTCAGAGAGTAAATTCATTGAACATATAATGAATGTAACTAGAATAAAATCTGGCTTCATTCTCAACAGAAACAACACTGGAAACAGAGAAATTTGGGAGCCGAAGATCTTAGCCTCTATACAAATAAACACGTGATAAGTATTTACATGAAATATGATTAAAGAAAAGCGTGGTTACTTGAATGCAGTTGCCACTGAACCTATGCCGAAAACTGAAGCCACGATAATCTCCCTAATTAATCTCTGCGATGAAAAACAATAACAATTACATCAAAAAATTAAGCAAGAACAATCAAAATGTTGAGGTGGTTTTAATTGTTAAAAATCACCAGAATCTTGCTCATGATGGTAGTCAAACCAATCCACGCAGCACGTTGAATCAAGCCAATGTCTACAAAATCACCCAAATATTAAAGCATTCTAGGGTTACAGACACACATTTATTTGTATATGTATATATATCGAGAGTCTAGGGTTGGGAAATAGTACCAGAGGGCATCGAATTGGTGTCATCATCTTCGACCTTGGACGCGGACTGGAATGCATGGCTTGAAGAAGTTTCCACCGAGTCGATTGGAAAATGTACAGGTTCTTTGCAACAAGGGGCTGTTTGAATTCGACTGAATTGGTGAAGAATTCGAGTGTGAGAAGGATTCGACGATGATGAGAAGAGTGATGGGAGAGAAGTGAGTTCACATGGGTGAACAAGGAGTGAGAACCGATGAGTCGGCGAGATTGGGAGATTGTGAAACTCCAAAATGTTGCGAAGCTTGAGGGACTGGGACTCCATCTCTCTACAACTTCGTAGTACAGGCAGTTGGCACCAATATATAGGATTAAAAGGCAGCAATACATATAAATTAGGTTTAATTACAAATTGATATATGAATCGGCCCTGTACATCATCAACTTGAACTAAGCATCTACCAGATGCAATCTCAAGTAGCCTAAGAATTTCTTATTTCATTCAAATGGGCAAAAAATTAAATTGAAGTAGATGAGTAGCTATCTGTAATGACATATTAGTGTAGAAAACACAGAACCATACATAAATCACCAATGGATCAAACTCTATTACACACAGAAAATTAATAATTTCAATTTCAATAAATATATATGCATAAATTTCTGCAAAATACAAAAAATTTATATAAAGAGAGGGGGGAAAATGCCGATATGAGATGGAGTGATATCAGTCATAAGCTTGAATCTCAAATGAATGCTAGAACTGAAATTACAGAAAAATCAAGTGCATGAAAAAAGAAAACAATCCAGGTTTATATTCTTTAATATTTTTTCCCCCGACAATGGCAGCACTCTCTCACACAGGAAGAAAATTATAGGAGCAAGCAAATTGATTGTATAATTGTACAAGGCAAAAATTTTGTAACAAACCAAGGAAGTTGAGTCTCCTTTTATACACAATGGGAGAGAGAGAGGAGGAGCTTCCAGCCATCAAGACTAGCACCAAATGCAATCAATTACGCCTACAAAATTGCTGGAGTAATGCACCAAAACTGATAAGTCAATTAGTATATGAGTTATATACTCTATATACACATGTGTGTATATCTGTAGCAAACCTGACCAAAAAAGATTAGGTTGGTGGACCACTAATCCAGCCCAGTCCAAACCTAACCCATTCCTGCAAGTCTCAAGCCTAAGCCCAAGATCTACAATCCACGACCCATGGACCCAGCTCGGTCTAGGCGTGTGGGCGGCGCATGTACGTGTGACAAGTTTTTCATAACCAACTTGGACCATAGTTTTGGCCCAAACCCATCCTTGAAGCATCTATAACTCTATCCTTTTGGAAGTTTTGGATGCCCCAAAGGACTCATGCCCTTATCAAAATATTGAGGTTTAAATATTCATCAAAGCATTCATTTACTATCAATGTGGGATTGGTAGCTATACATAATTTCCAATACCTCATTTATGAGGCCAACTTTATGAGACAATTTCTTATTAAATTCTTAATGGTTTTTTGTCATTTTTTTTTGTGGTGTAAAGATCTTATTACAAAGAATCTAAACTCATTTAATTCTAAATCAACCACTGGTTTGGACCTACTTTAATTTCACATTAAAGTCACCATAAAATCATTTTTTCCAACAATTCCCTACATGAATAAAAATTGACCGAATAAAAAAAATGGACAACGTTTACAATAAAGACTTGGAGAGAGAGCACACAAACTAATCTTGCATCAGAAAAGGTAGTTGTTAGCCTTGAACCTTTCGTAGTGAAAGCCTATCGGATTTACGGGCTGACCAGTGAATGTGATGTCTTAAACTGTTCTGCCGTTTATGTAAACTGAGACAATAGATCTCACACAGGAGTTAGTCCAACCATTGTTCTTGTTCTCATTGGTGTGTCTAGTATGGCCCTGGAACACTAGCCTGGTTTAGTGAGTGTTTTTAAAGAATTTGATCTTACCAATTCTTAAAGAAGCGGGCCCCATTTTGCACTCACATAGGTGACCTATAAAAGGTATCTTATTATGGTTGATTATTAATATTACTTAGGTCATTAAAAGCATTAGTTTAACATTTCACCCCCACAGGGTATCACTGTACAAAGGAATGGGTAAGAGAATTTACCTCTTCAGTGACTCCCCCATTACATGAAATTAGGTTGTCCCTTTGAACCTAGATATTAGAATCTCCAGTAGGTTAGGTTTTCCGTTCTGGTAACATTACTAAAAGCCTTAACCCAATTCATCTTGACGACGTTTCTACTAACTCTCGAGTTAACCCTTTGGTTAGCGGATCCGTAATGTTATCATTAGACTTTACATAGTCTAGAGAGACAACTCCATTAAAGGGTAGTTGTCGTATGAAATTATGTCTATGAAGGATATGTATAGACTTTCTATTATACATATTACTCTGTGCCCGTCCAATCGCCGATTAACTATCACAATGAATACAGATAGCAGGCACAGGTTTTGGCCAACGTAGAATATCCTCAACGAATTGGCAAAGCCATTCAGCTTCTTCAGTTGCTTTATCCAAAGCAACAAACTCAGATCCCATCGTTGATCTTGATATGCATGTTTACTTAGAAGATTTCCAAGACACAGCTACCTGTAGACTCGACTTTCTCCGCGCGCCCCCTTTTCGGAGAGGGCGCGAATTGGTCTTACTACAGTTCGGACTCTTGTCACGGTTCTGAATCTAATCTCGCAAAGTGCTATGTGAGACTGATAAACACCAAAGAGTCCAATCCGGCAAATCATTTTGAAAAATCGATTTTGAATCAAATAATACCAAAACTAGACTATTTTTTCAGATTACAAAGTCGCCACCTAAATATTTTATTTTGGGAAAATTTAGGAAACCCTGACTCGTGCCAAAGGCCACGTGTCTGTCATCACCAAAGTTGTCTTGGCTTGGGAACTTGGGTACGAGAGGGGAAAGTCATGCAATGAACACCCCCGCTCACCCGATCAAAGGATCGGCCTCTACTACCATGATATGTTATTTTATAAACACATGTGTTCTTATTCCGGTTATTAAGCTAACTTACTATGTGATGCACACATCATACAAGTATAGACTCAATCACGAGGATTAAAACAAAACAACTCATGTTTGTTTTTTAAAATGGTTTGAAAGTGCTACTTGCAAGTAGGCTAAAGTGCAGATTTGCCACCCTCAAGTGGGCTTGAAAACATGATTTTGTCACTTCGCAAAGTGGGGTTAAAACTTGCATTTGATGAATTGTCCCAATTCAGGCAATCAAACCTCCACCCACAAGTATTCAAGCAGTTTAAACACTTAAGCAAATAGTCTCATGGTAAGCATGCTATCATGGCAACACTCACACTCATGCAAATATGCTAAAGCGTAAACACTTACAGTGTACTCCGAGCCAAAACAAAAGCTAATTAGAAATCATGCATGATCCTAACTATACAAAATACCTAATGCAACACATGCAATAATGCAACTGAATAGGCTCGGCTATCTAAGATGGCATATGAATGCAACAATTTGATACACGTATTCAAGAAAGTGTATTGAAATATAATGTAGTTTGAATGATGCGTCAAGCCCAGTGCATGCAAGACAAATGAATGATGCATGCATGCAAGCATAATGTATGCTAATTGAAAATGTCCTAAAACTAACCATCGAAAGCGGTTAAGTAAAAGGGAGAAAAACGTGGGGTTGGAAGACATACACACACACGCACACACTTATTACAACATTATGCCCTCTCATCGGAGGGTCTGAATAAATGAGCTAAGTTAAGCTAACTAATCTAATTAAACTAATTAAACTAATTATTACACAACCAATTGAATAACTAGCAAACTACTTACTAATTATTATAACATTTTAACTAATTAACAAATTAATTAAATTACAAAACAAATGCTAATTAACAAGGAAAGCACAAAACTACAAACTACGCTGCCCCAGCTCTGTTTGAAGAAGATGCATGCATGCCTCGATTTTCGTCCCGAAAAGCTCTCTGATTTGCTCTTTAGAGGCTCTGTTTGCAGGGTATATTCAAGAACTTTCTGCTGAAACTTACCAAGACAATGCTGGGGAGTGCACCAGTGGCCTGTCGGCCATGAATGGTGGCTGTCGGCCATCTGCCGGCCAACAATGAAAGGGAGGCCACTGGTGTGCTGTGACACCAAACTGTAACAGAGCACAAAACAGAGGAAAATGGAGGGTTTTCCAAGGACATGTTTGTACTGTGCCCCCTCTTTATCATCTAAAAACATCAAAGGAGAGCCACTCTTGAATCCAAAACCACCAATCAAGCATGTCCAATGCATGATGGCCAAAGATCCAAGTTGTACATATTCAATAAATGCACAAAACAAAGACACAAGTCCATTACCTTATCATGAGAGATCAAAGGCAATGAAGACCAAGAAACGTGACACGTCTCACTACTATGAATATGAAACGTCTCACATTTCTCGTGTTTGGATTAACGTCCAATCCAAACACATGCAATGCAACATACATGCTTATCTTGCACAAGTTTTACTTTGCTCAATTCTTGTTTACACATTTTACATTACCGAGCCATTCATTAACCAGTTAAGTCCAATGTGAAAGTCCTCTAATGGGAAAGATGGCCTCAGCCACGAGCACCTTGAGCATGAAAGAAGCCTCATGCTTTTGGTTAGTAGAAACCCTCAAGAGAAGGCTAAAACCATTAGGCATGAGAGCCTCAATTCCATTCTCAAGCTAACAAGGGGCTTAAGACTACTTTCAAAGCAAATGAAAGAGTGAAACATGGAGGAAGATGACAGAAATTCAGTGCTGATATGGCATGAGAAATAAGACTATAACATGCAAACAACTTATGTACAACATATTGAGAGCCAAAAACATTGAGGCTAGTGAAGGATACAACACTAGAGGCATGCAACAATATGCTCAAAAGGGACAAATAGTCCAAAATAGTCCTAAAACACCCTAAATGGAGTTCTAAAACATGCTTGAAATAAGCAAAGAATAGCTATATTAAGAGGCCAAAACAATAACACATGCTAGGCAATTTAGCACAATTGTACTACAAGCATACAAAGCAAACCTTATGTGATCAAACCAGCTCAAAAACAAAGCTTAATCATGCCAAATTAGTGGCTCAAACATGCTGAAATAGAAGCATAGATGGCAAGAAAAACATGCACACATGTTGGCTCACAAACAAGGCACAAAGCACACCTCTCAAAAGCAATGAAAGAGTGGAATATGTGAGAGTGTAACAGAGGTATAGGCACTGAAATCACATGCTAAATGATGCCATATCATGTAAACAACTTAAGCAAAGCATGCTACGGACCTTGAAACACAAAGCTAGTCAAGGTCATTTACACTATAGCTATACAAAGCAAAGCACATATGACCAAGACCACTTAAAACAGAGTTTAAACATGCTAAAATATGAGCAAAAACATGCTGAGATGGAGCTAACACTAGCTAAGATGATAGGCTAACACATTAAGCAAGTTAAACTAGTAAGCATGATTACACTACAAGTGCAAGATGCAAGCAACAAGTGACCAAACCAGCCAAAAACAGAGTTAGAGCAGGTCTAAAAAGTCACAAAAACATACTTGAATAAAGCTACAAAGAGGTAGAAATACATGCTCACAAGTTAGGCCATCTACACTTACAAAGAGGATATGAAGAATGGGGGGACCACCCCCTCTTATTTTAGACCTCAAAACCAACTTTCTACCACTAAAACTCCTCCAGATTTTAGTGGTTAAAAGGCCACGGAAAGATAGTTTGAAAGGTGATGAAAGATGGCACAAAAG